GGAGGAGGAGGAGGAGGAGGAGGAGGAGGTGTTCAAGATAGATTTGGAGTCGCCGGACAAATCAAGTTGGTCGTCGACAGTTTAAAGGATATGGTACACGAATCCAATAATCTTGCCGTTTTCCATTACGAAGACGCGCGGAAGATCGCTAGTCGCATGAACGAAGATGCCGTTGCAAAAATCAATGGCATATTGGAAGTGGTAAAGTAAACTAAATCATTTGTCGATCAGATTCACGCGGTATTTGAAATTATTAAGATCGTGAACAAAATAATACTTATCGTCCACGCATTGTATAGGCTTTCGCGCAATAATGCGCCTTATCGCTGAAAGGATCTAGCCGATTAAGATGGTCAAAATTGTCCATACAGGTTTTTTTTAAATGGGTACTATACCGTCCGAAAGCTGATCAAGAAAAACTCTTCTGTGCAAAATTTTAATCCTATAATAATCCGTGAGGATAGTTACAGAGTAAATAAGATTTAGGCGCTTTTCCGCCCATTTCACCCTTCCGGTGACTTTTTAAAAGTTTTTATTATTAGACATTAAAAATTGCATTTTCCAGGTTAATAAAAATTGCTTGCTTCAATATAATAACGTTTAAAATTACGTAATCTATACTTATGGTAAACCCAACGAGATCTTCCTCACAGCAAAAACGTCGACGAACATTTTTATTTTTTATTTTTTTACAATATCGCAGTTCTACGATAAATTTGAGAAAAATTGAGCGCACTGCTTGCGACAGTACCTTATCAGGGAATTAATTTTGTCTTAGAGATATCTTCAATTTTCCGATCTTCTTTTTGGTTTTCCATTCTCCATAAGTACCGCTTGCAACCGAAATATCTAAAAAAATTCTATAATATGCGGTTTGATGTCCGAAATAAGGCACATTATTTTCAAAATTTTAGTAAGTTACCGAAGGGAGAAACGGGCAAAAAAGCGCCCAAATATAATTTACCCTCTAACTACCCTCGCGGACAAGTTGCAGGATTGAAATTTTGCACAGATGAGTTTTTCCTGCTCAGTTATCGAACCGTATAAAACTCATTAAAAAACCTCTAAGGGCAATTTTGACCTACAGAATCGACTAGACCCTTACAGAAAGTTACTTCATTCTTCTTTTTAGGTAAACATGAAGATTTATAACTGGAAGAGAAGAGCACGCGGTAAAGATATCCTTAAATGTCTTATTGACATAGAAAAAATAAGACGCGCAGCACTGGAAATCATTGACAAAGTCATAAACTGCGTGTCGGAAGAAATAAACAAGACAGCAGAAGTAGTTGACAGAATTATGAACCGAACGGACGAATTCCTTCTCAAACTTGACAATATTAACATAAGGGCAGCCCAATGCACCGGAAAAAATATATTTGAATTCCAGATATGCTTGAAAACAGTGAGTATGCCATTTGAATAAAAATAAAATAATAATACGACAGATTTACTAAACAATTGCGACGAATATACAAAACGTCAAAAGATACCGGACAAGCGATACATTTAAACTAATCCATAATGAACGTGAAATATACAATGTACAAACTATAAAACAACATTCAGGTACTCCTTGATGCGCAACGACTGCAAAGAGAAGAAGTATATGTTGTGGTGAAGGATATCCGAGACCTCATAGAATTACTAATCCAAGAAAAAGCAACAATAACAAAATGTTCCGTAATCGAACTACTACCAAAATTCATAAGACTAGTAGCCGAAATTTTAAGAGCAATAGAAATTTGTATCGGAGATTGCCATCACGGTAGGTTTAACACATCAAAACAAAAATAACTCCTTTGCGAAAAAAGAAAGAAAAATAACGAACTAAAATTTTACACAGGAACTAAACCGCCCACATCGATGACACATCATCCATCAACGAAATCCTCTACTATGAGACAGACTAAGCCATCAGAACCTACTGAAGGATCCCCAACGCCGTCAGAACCTCCTGAAGGTAACCCAACGCCATCTGGACCTACTGAAGAGTCGCCGACGCCATCGCCGTCAGT